ATTATATTATATTATATTATATCATGCCTAGCCTTGCAATAGAGAGGGCGGGCCCACAACGTGTTGATTTCATTCTGGCGCAGTCGATAAGAGAAGGTCGCTCGATCCAAGCAGCAGTTCTTCTTAAACGAAACTATGAGAACCCGGCGAATGTGTCACAGCACGCCGATTTTGCTAGGCCAAGAGGTTTAGTCAGAGGCCGTTCTTTTGTGCGGTCGTCGAAAAGACGGACGAAGCCATGAGATGGCCCTGTTTCCTGACTTTCTGATGTTGTTTATGTTTTCCACGGCTCGAAGGTTTGCCGAAGCTGCATGCTCGATCCGGGAGAGTCTGTGTAGCCTTCAGACAAGAACTCGTGCAACATCCTAAGTTCACCTGCCGGGGGTCTCTTAACATCGTATCATGTCGTAGCCCAGCGAGATTTTGCAAATACTGGGTTCTTGATAAGGAATTTTGTTTACCATCATATTTTAGATAACAGCGTTTCCTGATGACTATAACTTAACTTCAACTCCTTAACAAGAACCAGACTTGAATTGTTCAACCCTAAGTACTCAACCCCAAACTGCCGAGAGCGCCNNAAAGAAGCGCACCCACCGCGCGCACACAGTATATCACCCTAACCCGGAAAACCCCTTGACCCTCCGATGCTAGGACAACCAGCTTCTGGGTGGTCGGCGAGCCGAAGCCGAAGAGACGCACCTCGGCGGATGAGGGAAGTTCCACTGCTGGGAATGTAGGGGGCTTGAATACTTATTGCCAATATAAATCGCTATAGTAGTAGTCGTCGTGATAGTAGTAGTAGTAGTCGTCGTAGTAGTAGTAGTAGTAGTAGTAGTGGTAGTAGTAGCAGCAGTAGTAGCGGTAGTAGCAGTAGCAGTAGCAGTAGCGGTAGCGGTAGCGGTAGCGGTAGCAGGTCGTAGTCGTAGTAGTAGTAGCAGTAGTAGCAGTAGTAGCAGTAGTAGTAGTAGTAGCAGCAGCAGCAGCAGCAGCGGAAGTAGAAGTAGAAGTAGAAGTAGTAGTAGTAGCAGCAG